AGGTCGAGTATATGTTGAACAACAACTGATTCCTCCAGCTTGGAAAGCTTCTTCGAATTAGGCTCAGAATCGCGTCGTGGGGTCGTTCCAGCGCGTCGATCTCGAAGTGTGCTTCTGGGTACGTTATATGTCGTAATAGCGCGCCGTTCGCTTTTAAATTGCTGCTGATTGATTGCTGTGATAGCCATGCATATTCGACCTTCATTTTGTATTGATTGCACGTTGTGTTGTCGACGCATGGTGGTTGGAAGTTGACGCGTCGCGTTTTTGTGATGAAGTGGACGGCTCGCTTGGGTGGACGGCTCGCTTGTGGAATACGTTACGACTATCTACAAAATCTTTAACTTCAGAGCATTAAATTAATAGTTCTATAACAAAAGAAGATAGTTCTAAGCTTTAAAGATATTTAACCCTGAAAAGTATGCGCTCCGGATTTATCCGTGCGAAGGGGTCTAAAGTGTGTCTTGGTATAACGTGTTCTGCGGGCATCCTGCCCACCCCACCAAGCCGCCACGCCGAATATTGCGAATTGCTCAACCACGAACGATTGTATTTAGTGTGGCTATCTACTAGCTAGTTGCCTGCCGTCTAGGGCACGTACGTGCGTTGTGTTCAGTTGATTCGCACATGCTGCACCTAGGTTTTGCACGCTGCGGTCGCTTGGCCGCTGCCGCTGCTGGCGCCTCCTCTGCCTCTATTTGGGCAGCTTGTGCACGAGAGGCCACTTCTGTTCCTAATAGAACCCCTCCTTTAGCTACATACTTGCGCTTCCTTGCCCTCTTTTGTTTCTGGCGCTTATTTTCTATGCGTGCCGTCTCAAGTTCGCTTGCAAGCAGCACAGCGTTTGACATCGCCATTTCACACCTCTTAATGATCCCGCTAAGGGCTTGTTCTGCTTTACTTGATGGGCTATGCGTATGCCGGTGAAAATGGCGCTTTACTAAGGCTGTCTGCTTCTGTAGCTCAGCAATATTGTGAGGTGTTTCGGCTGCCAAAGATGCATTTAAGGACAGTGGACGGCGTTGGGGTGATGGCGTCTGAAATTCGGCATGCAGCTGCGATAGCACGCGCTCAGGGCTGTATGGAACAAGGCCAGTGGCTGCGAAGCCTGCCTGTATATTATCTTGATGTAGCGCTGTTTGCCTGGCCTGCCTATATAGCGGCAGGAATTCGTGTTTATCAATGTGGTTGACACCGCGGCCCATAAGCTGTTCGACGCTGCGTCCATAGGCCTGCTTTAGCGTCGAGAAACAGCCTACATCAAGCGGCTGCAGCAAATGCGACGAATGGGCTGGCATGCATACAACAACGATGTTGTGCTCCATACAGAATT